TTTTCGTCTCCAGTGGGAATTGAACTTGTACTCAAGCACTTGGGGGTGCGACAACTTCAACACTTCACTAAGTTGCCACACCCTTTAGTTTTTATTTTGTTAATTGGTAAATAACTATAGTTAACTATATATTTAAATATTGTTTCTCCACCTTTTCTCATTTGACGTCTACATTAGAATGTATTACTAAATAAAGTCTGAATTAGGTAATACAAATCCTGTAAGGGAGTAGGCTCCCACGTCAACTTAAGCTGACTCATTTTTTTTAGTAAGGTAGTGAAGAAGAATATTACGAGCACCATTAATATCCCTATTGAGTTCTGTTTTATATTTAGAACAACAAAATACTTTAAATCTATCTAGCTTGTGGTAGATGTAACCACAGAATCCACAAGTTTTACTTGTATATTCTTCTGTACAAATAATTATTCGACATCATAGATGTTCACATGCTTTATGGGCCAGATGTTGCTGAAAACGAAAATGTGACCACGTACACATGGCTCGAGCTGTTTTAGAACCAATACGTTATTGCCCACGTCTGATTATTCTTTGAGTACAAAATTTTGGTAATATTATTATACGATAATTTTTACAAAGCCATTTAGTTAATTTACAATGATATTCATGAACTAGACAGTGGATCCTCTTGTGAATACGCAACATAACATGCTGTAGTTTATAATTAATATAATCAGTCAAATTGTAAATAATATAAATCTATAAATCTATTATTAAAAACTAACCTGTAACGTTTACGTTTATTTCCTTTTCCATGAATCTTATCTTGTTTACTTTGAAGTCTGTCATCTATATGACAAAGTTGATAAATCCGACTAATATCATTTTTTTCCTATTCAATAGCCATTCTACTTGAATCATAACCAATCATAAAAGTACGTATACCTGGATCTAATGCAATCACTCCTGATCCACACTTTTTTAATAGTAGTTAATATAAATAAATAATTTAAAAAAAATAAAAAAGTTAATTCAAACTTTTTCTTGATTTTCTGAAAATAAAGGACCTTGGTTCTCAGTCCGTATTTTAAGTGGCTCAGATATACAAAGGTAAAATTCACCAAGACGATTTATAACAAGGCAACTATCATATTCAAGTTGTTTTGGAAGAGATTCTGCTGAGT